AGTGTGGCTATTTCATGCCCTTAATGTTTATTTTAAGTCATACAACATCTTCCTCAACTTTAGGACTTTTTCTTCTTATCCCTTAACTGTAAATCCTATTGGTTGTTCAATTTAGACATCTTCTTCATGCTAATTTGACATCAATTTAAAAACTTTTCCATTTCATTTTTGAGGTTATACAAAAATAAGAAGACAAATTATCTTCATGTGACCCACCAATACAAATACTTCATCATAATTAACTCTATGTTATTGCCTACAGGGTTTAGCAATGAGCCTAATTTTACATCTTTTTACATCTCTGTTGACATTTCTTTTAGTCTTGAATACTCAATTTACTTCAATTACTTCATGATCCTTAAGAAGATTTGATAGTTTTGAAGTGTTATTTTTCTCAATAGCTTTCCTCCATGGCTTTTCTAAACTTATGGTCCTTCATAGATTCATCAAAATTCAAAGATTCACTATCAACAAATAAACAAAATAAATCTTTTATCATGTCAATTTCATTATAATTCTTAATCATTTCTCATTTTTCTTAGCCTTTCACTTGAACAATCTTCAAAAGATGATGACGTTTTATGAGTTGATGAAAGACATAGAATATAAAACTTATTTGATATTTGACTTCCTTCTTGGTCTGCTTCTTCAATGTATGAAAAAAATCATAAGTATCATCCTCTTCTCCCCATTTCAAGCTTCTTCTTTATCAAATTTAACATCTTATTAGGATGTGTTGTAAGACAAATTAGCAAGTTATGAGCTCTTTAATTGAATGGGATCAATCAAGGAAAGCTATATATAGGAAAAATATTTTTACAGACCAAAATCATGATAAATCTTCATACGCCCTTACCAAAAATTAAGGTGTTTTTCAGATATGAAAAACATAAATTTCTATTGTGTTTATAGAAATTTAATATGTTTAAGGTAGAAAGAGAATAATTAAAACAAATAAGACAGTTTTTATTATTAATTACAAAAAATATATGAGTATATTTCACTATTTATAATAGTGATACAATGAATATTAACTTATATAAAATAATTGATCCATTATGTCACTAAATATCATGTGGTTGCAAACCAAAAGCCATTGGTCTTAAGGAATTATGGTCCTTAACTCACATTAACACATTTACTCAACTTTTGATCTTTATAACTCATGCACCACTTTATTTTTTTAATTATAACACATGACACAATTAAATTATGTCCAAAAGTAAAAAGAGAGGTAGATGAGAAGGACTTGGACCATATGTTGTATAGGACATAGTTGGATTCCTTACCTTTCAAAGAAAGAAAGTTACAAGATAAGAAATGAAACACATGAATGAAGTGAAGAACTTTATATATTAAAGAAGGAAACATGGTAAGAGACATGTCACCAAAAGATGATTCCATGTTATAAGGAGATTGAAAGAAGGATTATGAAAAAGAAGTAGAAGAAAACTAGAATACAAGTTTCATTGAAGTAGCAAAGGTGGAAGCTTGTTTATGAAAAGTAAATATTGGGAGAGAGAAGGAAAAAGGTTAAAAAAAGATAAATCAATGACAAAAGAGTTGATGAGGGTAGAAAATAATCAAGCCCCACCAACTCTATATCATAATAGCATGGCAAAGAAATAGAAAATAGTTAGTAGAAGAGGTAGCACAATAACTCCCTATGGAAGAAAAGGTGAGGAAAGTGGAAGATGTAAAAAACAAGAATCAATCAATCATGAAAGTAGAGAAGGACTAAGATTAAGAGTCAAAAGATCAAGAAAGATACTAGTGGAACCAACCAAAAAAATGATAGTGTGACTAACCAATACTGCTAGAATTGATGAGAATCATAAGTTAAAATTGTTAAAGGCTTAAGAATCCTTATGTAGCTTGAGCTTTAACTAGGTTCATCAAATGTGAAGGACCTTTATTGATATTTTTAATAGAGACCAAAAGACAGAAAAAAATAAAAATAATTAAGAAAGTAGTTAATATAAACAAGTATCTTATTGTTGATTTCTTAAGAGAAGAAAGTAATCATACTAACAATAGCTTAGCGATTCTTTTTAGAGTATACATTCCTTGTTATTTAGAAGAACTCTTGTTTATAAATTTTAAGTATACATTCTTTTATTAGAATATGTATTTTTTATTATATACATAAATTAATTTTAAGTATATATTCTTTTATTGGAATATGTATTTTCTATTACATACATAAATTAATTTCAAATATACATTCTTTTATTATAATTAAATGAAATTAATTTCAAATCTTAAATAGTACATACGTAAATTAATTTAAAGTATATATTCTATTATTGGAATATTTTTTTTATATTAAAAATGTAACAGTTGATTTTATTTTTCTAATAACAATTGATTCTTTTAACTTTAAACCAAATAAGACAGAAATATACATATAAAATTAATATTAAATTAACAACTTTTTCTTGTATGAAAATCAATGTTTTACATTCTAAATTAAACTGTAAATATAGTTATCCATAATTTCTATTTCAACCACGTACATTTAATGAATAGTAGTTAATTAATTATTTTAGATACTACAAATTATATTAAGCAATAAATAAAATAAAATTTTAAATTTACGAAAAAAATTGTTTGATATGTTTTTCAAAGTAAAAGTTAATATTAAAAAAATTCCTTACATCAAGTTACATGTAAACTCTATATTAGGTCTTAAATTATCTAATAAATTTTGATAAAAAATTAAATATTTTATCAAAAGGCTCGTTTCAGTTGATTTCTCGTCAATAGTTCTTTATTCCATAAGTTTTCTCAGTTATCTAAACAGATAAACCAGATAATATGATCTGATTTCTTTTTTTATCTATTAAAGAAAGAGACAACCAGAAAAACTTATAATTTTATGGTAGGATTTTAGTAAGGATAAAATTTATTTACAGATTTTCAGTTTTTTATGATGGTATTTTTTAATCAAAATTAGAGTTTTATCTTTGTAAAAAATCTTATTTAACGTTATCATTTGTTACTAAATGAAACTACAACATTGATAAAAATAACATTAAAAATACTTGAAAAAATTACTCTTAAATTTTATCGTTTTATTAACTAATATCCTTAACTTAGACATTAATTAAAAAATTTACCTATAAATTATATGAAAAATTATGGCAAAAGTACATTAAAAAATAAGATTAAATGAATTAGTAACATATTTCCACAAAAAGTTTTTTATTTTAATTTTTAATCAATATTTTAAAAATATTTGTTAACATTCTCCTTTTCCAATTTAAGTGGCACTCTAAAAATCTAAAATCCCAAGTGACATATGTTAACAGTATACCGTACAATTACGGCTCAACGTAACTTGTTCTCCTTCAGTTGTTTAATTGGGGTAACATATATTTTGGTGGTTTCCTCTCTCTGTTCAACGATTAGCTCATATTTGCTCAAATGTAAACGAAGAATGTGGAAAAGGATGAAGCTGGTAAATTTCTCAAGCATTTGTGTTATTGACAAGTAGCTAGAAAAATAAATTTTACTTCCAATCTACTTGAATTTGCATTGCCCTAACGATGCACCAATTAGGAGCAACAGTTTAAGTAGGACAAATTTTAAATTCATCTCAGAAACTTTATAATAAAAGAGGTTAGTCTAATGTTCTACTATTTATTGTATGAAAATAAAAGTATCTTTTTCAAAAGCTTATAAACATTGTTGACCAATAACTAAAATCAGATTAAAAATAAAAAACAAAAACTAGTGATACAAATTAAATTTATAAAAAAATATATTAATTTTATGTATATGTTCATATTTTTTCTTCTATTTCTCTTCTTTTTTGTCTTCCTCTTTTATTCTCATCTCATTCCTATGATATAAATTTGTTTACTGCTATTGGACATAAGAAGTGGAAGCAATACTTAAAATAGTAATTTATATATATATATATAACATTGATATTGAAGTCAAATAAAATAAAGTATAATTCAACTAAATTATTAAATAGCTTATTATAATTTATATAATTGATATGAATAGTCTAATATTAAATAAATTAATATATCCTCTAAATAGAATAAAATTTTTCTTAAAAATTAGTTTTGTTTCATTTAGTAGCTTGAAGAACTCCAAAAGGACTAACGCATTCAAGTTCAATACGTTATTGTATACTTGTGGATATTTCTCTTTTTAATTATAAAATTGCTAGTCCACTTATTGTAATTTTTAATACAAAAATAAAAATAGAAATAAATACACATAGAACAACTACACTGTTAAACATCGTTACTTTCCATTTTTTTCTATTACTATAAATTATAATTTACGCGATTAGAATACTATAAATTATAATTCACACGATTAGAGATTCGCAAATAACAGAATTCTTTATACAAAAATTAAAAAATATTAAAATTTTAGAATCTAATTTTTTAAACTTCTTTTGAAAATTTAGGTTAGATAAAACTCAAAAAGTTATATGAAATAGATAGATAATTTACATAAATTTTAGTTCTGTGCTAAAAGTTATATTTTTTTAAAGAAAGTAACATTCAAAATTTACTATTTTTTACATTAATTCTCTAAAAAATCAAGATAGAAAGTAGCATTTTTTAATATACTTTCTATAGAAAGTAACATTTCTTTTAAAATATAAACATCAAGAAGTTTTCCATGATTATAATAGTTAAAAACTAAAGAGAAAACTGAAATCCTACGTAGATTGCAAACTTTCAAATAGTACCACCTATAATACTACATTTAATGAATTCTACAAATACTAATCTGGTTAAGAAAATAAAGATTGCAAACTTTCAATGCAGTCTATCATAATTTCTATGCACTGGTTGGCAAGACAGTTTTTCTTATTTAGAACAGAAATTAGGAATACAAAAAGTCATCATCCACTCGTTGACTTATTCAGCAGATATCTTAGTACCTGCACAAATCCACCTTTACTTCAACATATACTTATAATTTCTAGATTAAACTTTTCAACATTTTTCTAACCATCGTCAAATAATTTGTCATATATCACCATCCCATAAGTCTTCCTCAGATATGTTAGCCCCAGTTGTTTCTTCGACTAAGAAGCTACCTTTGAGTAATCTTACCTGCAACAACAAAATTGTGTTAGAAAACTAAAGTACCATAAAAATAAAAAAATAAAATCTTTCATACCATCCTCGCTTTGACAAGCACCAAGTCTTGCTAAGTTGCTACTCAAAATAAATGTCAACTCACCACCCATTATATGGAGGAGAGAAACAATTATGGATCAATATTCAATAAGTATCTCATCCATTAATTTATTCAGGTCTTGAAATAAATGAAAAATCGAAGGTACGTAATCATTAAATACATATTTACCTGTTTAATAGTAGAAAATTTAGCAAGCATGTCCTCGGGAATAGACCAGTCAAAAACATCAAAATTTTCCTTTATCCTTGCTTTATTAGAACTCTTGGGTAGCACACTATGCCCCATTTGAAGTCCCCATCGAAGAGCTACCTGTGCAGGAGTCTTTCCTAATTTCTCTGCCACCATATTTATAACTGGATGCTTAAGGACATCACTTTCAAGCCAGGCAGGGGAACCCAAAGGTGAATATCCCTAAACATTTGCAATTATGTGACACAGTTAAGTATGAAAATTTCACAAAAATTAAACACTGCTTGATGCTTCCTCACAATCACAAATATGATGGATGAGTCACTACTATTATGGTCTACAGGTATTTTTAAGAGAATAAATAGATTAGTAAAACGATTTCAACTTCTATCAAAAGTTTAAATTAAGTTATGCATCTCAACTGTTAGAAAAATTAAATGAAAGAAATTTTGAAAGTGTGAAATGCAAGAAGTTTGAATCATTTTTTTTTATCTATTTTAATTCTTCTTTTATATTCTCTTATAAGTATATGTTGATAAATTTAAATTATAAGGGTACATGTGCATATAAAAGAAATGAGATTATTGTAGATTTGCAAACTTACAGAGAAGTGTACACCTTTAGATTTGCAAAAAGCCTTTAACTTGTCCTGCCTCCATGCAGGATGACACTCTAATTGGTTGACAGCAGGAGGAACACGAGCAATCTCAAGCAATTCTCCCAACTTCTTAGAGGAGAAATTGCTTACACCTATAGCTCTAACCTTGCCAGCATCATAGAGAGCTTCCATTGCCTTCCACGTTCTAGGTATGTCTGATGGCACAATGTTTTCAAGCTTCAACCCCACTGATCCCTTCTTCATTCTAATTGGCCAGTGAATCTTAAAGGGCAAACTCATCAGCACACAATTGATGATGTTAATAAACATGCATAGGGTATTTCTAGAACAACTACTAGTACATACTAATTATGTAATAGGAATTTACAGCAGAAACAAAAAGTTGTGCATGTGGGTTCCTTTAAAGCATTTTACTGTCCATGAACCAAACTTTGACCATTGAAGTGGTTATTTTTCACGTAATAAGAGACTCCATATCGCCAAAAGAAAAATAAACTCAGGAAAAAATAATGGAAGAATATGCAAAATAAGGTTTTGATTTCAGAATTAGAACATAAAATTGGAATTAAAAGGTTCTGTGATATCTCTAAGGAATTTTATATCTTTTATCTTACATTCTTGGATAAATTATACTTTACTTGCTTGTAGTTTTGTGATTTCTTAATTTATTTCTTATACTGCTCTTTTATCATTAAAGTATTTAAGAGAGCAGACTAACACAGAATGAAGATGTACATCTAAAGATGAAAAAAAAAACTAATTTGTTAGCGAGAGAAGACGAAGAGAGCAGGCTAAAAGAGAAGATAAAGACCAATTCAACAAGACCAATAGCTATTTCTGAGCTGTAGCGAGAAGGAAATAGAGAGAGGTGCATTTCTGAGTGCAGTCTCGCTGTAGCGAGAGGGTGTTACTATAGTGAGATTCTGCATAAACTAAAGTGCAGTTTCCTTTGAGATTTTTGCTATAGCGAGAGTGGGTGTTGCTGCAGCGAGAGAATATCTCGCTGTAGTAAGAATATCGCGACCAGAAGGGTATTTGAGGGATTTAGGGTTTGGAAAACACATTCTCACTCTTTTCTCTTCATCTCTATTTCGATTCTCTCTATTTTCAACTCGTTTTTACAGATTAAACTGTCTCTAAAGCCGTTTGTCCCAAACACAATTTTAACCTTCAATCTAACTCACAAACGACTTTAAAGGCAGTTTAATCGGTAAAAACGAGTTGAAAATAGAGAGAATCGAAACAGAGATGAAGAGAAAAGAGTGAGAATGTGTTTTCTAAACCCTAAATCCCTCAAATACCCTTCTGGTCGCGATACTCTTGCTACAACGAGATATTCTCTCGCTGCAGCAACACCCCCTCTCGCTATAGCAAAAATCTCAAAGGAAACTGCACTTTGGTTTCTGCAGAATCTCACTATAGCAACACCTTCTCGCTACAGCAAGACTGCACTCAGAAATGCATCTCTCTCTATTTTCTTCTCGCTATAGCTCAGAAATAGCTATTGGTCTCCCTAAATCAATGATTATTTCTTATACTAATCTTTCAATAATACTTATTTAACCGCTCTCTTAAATATAATATATCAGATAAAGTAAGATTTTAGAACAGTTCTAAAGGCTCTTTAACTCAAAACAGAACCATCTCCATTTTGGGTAGTGAGATAAGTAAATATCAAATTATAAATAACATATTAACAAGTATCTAAATTATATAAAATTTAATATACATAATTATAAAGATAATATAAAATAATTCAACGTTTAGATTAATAATTTTATATTTAATAAAAAGTTATGAAGAGATATAAGTTTCAATTTGACATCCGATGTCAATGAATCTAACTCAGTAATTTGAAAAGGGCAAGAAATTAGATGAGAGTAAAGTATAATTTACCCTACATTTCACTCCTTCTGATTTTGAAAAGAATCAAATCTAGACAAAATAATCACCGCAATAACTCACATACAAGGTATAAATCTATATAATCCAGCTGAAAGTCGCTTAAAGTTCTGTCCAATGCTTCTTGTACATCTTCTGGATCATGATCTGTGCACCTGCAAAACAGTTTAATTTCAGGTACAGAGAATCCTGGGGTTCAAGATATCGAAGACTAACATATAAAACTATAAATGGATGATTCTACTAGCATCACTTTATCCTTAAGAAGTAAGATAAAAAATTGGGAATCAAAACAAAACCAGAGTTTAGAGGTAATCCATAAATCTTCTCGTTTGACTACACCCTCCTCAAATAACTTCTTTAATGCTGAGCCAATCTACATCAGAGAGAATGAATCATCAACACTGGACCAGGACAATAACTAAAAAATTAAGGCATTCTATGAGAAATCACATAATTATTATACGAATTTTTTAATGTATATATGTCTAAATTTTAATTAAAAAATATTATTGGTTTTTTATTATATATTCTTAATCACACATAAGAAAATTAAACATTATTAATATGCATAAGTTTATGTTTCAACCTTATATGCAATGGTCTCAATCAATGCACAGTATTTGTGAAGACGTGTAAAGATGTCTGAACCGTAAGCTTTATATGGCACTGTTGCTGCTGCACAAAAAGGTTTGAAACTGTTTAACGATGCAGCAGCATATGTAGAATGTAGGCCACCGTGACAGTGTAGCATAGCCGAATGAGCTACTCGGTAGTACATGTATATGTTGACTTTATTATTTTCAAACTAAAATCAATGTTACTCAGTTAAAAGAGACTATCAAGCTATTGGTCTTGTTGAATTGGGACAATAAGACACCAACTAATAAAAATACATAGCTTAGCATTGATTGTGACAATTACCTCTTTCTGGTTGCCGTAGAATTGAGCACAATCAATATGGCGGTAACCAACCTGGAACAATGAAGCAAATGATTAAGTGTTTGCTTAGTTTAAAAGTAAGTAAAATCGATCTGGTGCTTATTCGTATCTACACTGAAACCCTGCAGGATTTATGGAGCATTCTACCGGCCCCTAATAGAAATTTTCTAAGGAGAAAGAAAATTACCTTCAAAATATGAAAATTGATTTTCTATCTTTCAAACAAATAAAATTTAAATATGATTGTTGATTTTCTAATTTTAAACAAATAGTGATAACTAGGTTAACGGGCAAAAACTAAAACCGTTAAGAATGATAAAATACAACAAACCATTAAGAAAAAACTTACATGCATGCATCAATGGCGCTTAAATGAGAGTCCAAAAATAGAAAAAGAATAATAGTGAATAAGATTTTGACCTTGATGGCATGAGTTATAACATCAGCAACAACACAAGGATCAGCCTGCCAAGTTCCCAAACCAACAGAAGGGATTTTAGCTCCATTGTTGAGTTCAAAGAATCGGATTTGGTTGGTCATTTTTGTGAGCAGATTGAAAGAGGTGCTAAGCTAGCGGGGTGGTGGTGAGGGGATCCAGATTTAATGCATTACGAACTACCATTTGTCTTTGTACTCTGGAGCCACGTGCTATACCCAGCACTGATACTTAAAATCTCGAGAAGCAGAGATATTCCGAATACCCGAACAAAATATAAAATTTAAGCTCCAAAATTAAAAATACAAAAAATAACACAAGAAACAAATATGCATGGAACGTTTACGTTAATATGTAAGTTATTGGTGTTAAAATCAATGAACAGATAAAAGACTATTAAAGAAACTAAAAGACTTTACGGTCGTGATTAGAGAACTTCAAATGGTGATTAATAATAAGAGAAAAGAGAAGAATAATTTAAGGATAAAGATGAGAAATAAAAAACTTAGAACAAAACCCTAAAAATTTAAGAAGAATGAAGAGTACAGAGGGAATACAGAAAAGATGAAAGATTGAGGAAAATTGAAATCCTAAATATATTTTATCTTTGTGTTTGTTGTCTTTAGAGCCTTCACGTTAACAATTAAGTTGTTGATCTTAAAATTAACAAACAGATAAAAGATTTTCATGTTGATGATTAAAGACTACCAAATGATGACTAATAAAAAGAGAAAAATAGAGTGACGCACAGGAAGGAGAGAAAAAATGAAAAATTGAGGAAATTGGGCTTTAATACTATTACTTAGTGCTTAGGAGTTGGGTTAGGGCCAATAATAACATATATAAATGTCATATTTCAGTCAGGTTGGATACCAAATAAATTTTAAACTTCAATCCACACCCAACCATTTTTATCCATCTTTATTCGATTTCAGAATCCATCCACAGTAAGTTTCCACCCAACCTTAAAAATTGATTTTGATTTTTTTGGGTTTGGTTGGGTTACGCTTTCTTACCCATCCCTAGTTATGGAAGTATTTAGATGGTTATGCCACTTAACCAAAAATTATTTATTTTAAAACATATGATTGATTAATTATAAAATATTATAATATTTTAAATTTAGACGTAAATTTAATTATTGAGATCTTTGTTGCAAAGGTTGTATTTGTCTTGAAAAGATTTGAATTCATCTAAGTATATAATTTGACCATTTATATTGTATCACGGGTTATTTTTTATAATTTACAAAAGAATCAGACATGTCATTGTGTAAGTGGTTAAGATTATGTGATTTTCTACCACAAAAAACTTTCTTCCAATCTTAAGTAGTTATTGGTACTTGAACTCATGCTAATTAAATAACAGAATATGCATTATAGGTGGATCAGTGTGGATATTGGATAAAATAAATTAAAAACTCACTTTTAGATGGTTAAAAATAGTTAGATACGAATTCAATTTTCTTAAACTGTTGGTACTTGACCTGATCATTTATATTTATTTTACACTCTAGATACAATCCCATTACCAATAGAAAAAAAAAACACTAGCCAAGGTCTATGTAACTTCTAATTAACCCTAATTTCATTACATTGAAAGTCTCTTCACTCTTGCACCACTGTGTGTTGTTTGCTCTTGACCTTTTGCCATTGCAACATTGTCTTTGATTCTTGCTTCAATGACTTCGTCTCTTGCTTTTTTTATTTCATCTCTTCCCTTTACAACTTTATCTCTTGCTTGTGCGACTTTTTATCTGCCTCTCTACAATTTCATCTTTCTAACTTTTATTTTTGACTTCTTGTTTCCATCTTCATACAATGGATTTTTTACTTCTACCTTTTTATTTTCATGTTTCAGGTAGTAAGCTCTATAATTTTCTTTAAGGTTATGTTTTCTTTATTAACGTCTCTACTTTTCATCTCTTGTGTGGGTGTGTCCTTATCTATCGTATGAGTTTTTCTTCTTTTTAAATCTTCACTTTTGATTTTTTAAATTTTTGCAAAATATCTCTCACTACAAAATTGCAATAGCAAGAACACACTGAAAATTTCAAAAATCACACAACTTGAAATTCAAAAAATCTTTGGTCAAAATTGATCTCTACTACTATTATCGGTTAATCGGTACCATGTTCTTACTTCCGAATCCGACTTACACTCACCCCTACTTGGAACAACTCTTCTTTATCCTCTTAGTTTTTTAAATAAGATTTTTTAATAAAAAAAATATAATTTTTACTGTGTATTATTAAAGAAGATGTTAAAAAGTTAAAAATATTTTTTATTAAAAATAAAATATTTATTATATTAAAATTGTAAAAAATATTTAATGTATATTTGTTTATAGTAATGTAAAGTATTTAGTAAAAAAAAGATATTTAAAGACAAAATTTAGAGAGAATATCGTAAATATTTTTGGTGCTATTATCTAAAATTAAAGTTTTAGAATATATTTGTTTGCATTTTTAAAATTTTTTAAAATAAAAATTAAGTATATTTTTTATTTTAAAAAAAGAAAAATCATTTTACAAATGCAAACAAACGGTGCTATTATTTCTATAACATGATAAAGGTTTGCATAACACCGACATTAAAACTCGATATATATATTATTAAGTAAAACTTTGACTTTAATTAGAGAATAATATAGAACACACAATGTTCATTAATGTTGTGGACCAAAATAAATGGGTTAACGAAGAACAAAACACATGATTAAGGAAGTAAGATTTATCATTGAAGTATGTGAAATCTTACACATAATTAATGTTCGTTAATAACATACCTAAAAGCAATAACAGAAGCTTGAGAATGTCAAAATTTATGTTTGTCATACCCAATTTATGTTGTTTCACTAGCATGCACATATGAAAATATATATTTTAAATTGCTTTTAAATCGATTATCAAAGAAAAAATAATTTAAAAGTGACATTCTAAATCAATTCTACAAAGATTTAATATAAAAAATACTTTCTACATTACTCATTCAGCTATTAATCTAAAAAGTTATGTAATTTTTGGCTTTTAAAGTTGTAAACGTTAAAGAGACATAATTTTTTTTGCACATACTTTCTACATTGTACCAAAATATTTTTCAAAATTTTAGTTTTTGTACATTTTTTTAATTCTTTTGTATTTCTTAGTGTTTTTTTTTAGGTTTTTATGTTTTATAATTTTTGTAGAAAATAAGTATATGATGTATTTTCTTATTATTCAAAAATTAATCCATATAAAAAGTCATGAATTTTACATTGATTCAAATTTAAAACAATAAAGAAAATACTTTTTACATAAGTTATTTTAAAAATCGATCTTAAATAATTTTTGTTATTTTTAAAAGTGTCACTATATTTTTTTATTAGACCGGTTAATTACTAATCAATGTAGAAAGTATTTTCTGTACTAATGATGTAATGATACCAGTTGAGTTAGATGCTAACATGGAAAGAAAAAATGATAACTTGAAGAATAAAAGCTGCATAAACCAACAACGAGATTTAGAGTTCATTCAAGAGTTGTGTAAAGGCTCAAGATAACATATAACAAACTCTCATGTACAAGATTTTGTAGTGTGAAAAAGAATATTATGCAAATAGAAAATGAGAGAATGTGCAAAATTTGACCTTATTCTCCTCTCTTCCTTATCTTTCTTATTCTTCTTTGGTCAGTACTTTTTTTTTTTTTTTTTGCTGGATGGTCACTACCTTTTAATCTTTGTACTTGCCTTTTATTTAATGATAAGATAGTCAACTTCCCTTTCTTGTAAATAGTACTACGTACATCTCCCTTATTTTCAGAATTAATTATGGTTAATTTGTAAGTTCCTTTCATAGTTGGTGCTTTCATTACCACTATGACTGGGTTAAAAATACATGCTGAAAGGATTTACAAAATGACATGAAATGTGTTGTCAAATTGATGAAGAAGCAGGAGATTAAAATTCTGAAAAGAGATGCTAAAAATTATAATCGCTTTACATGCCTAGAAACATTTATCAAGGAAATATCTTGTCAAAAGTTGGTTAATCAAGCTCAAATTTTGATGTTTCTTTTATGCTGTCATTTCAAGTAGTAAACGTTAAGCTTTATTTCAAATGATGACCAAGACTCAACCATTTCAATTGTGGCAAGACTTTCTTAGCGCCTTAAAGATTGAGTTTGGGCCATCCTTGTATGAGTGCTTGATCTACAACTGTAGGTCGGTCAAAATAATAAAAATCTAATTATCATAGCACAAGTAATCAAGTAATCAGAGCCGTCTTTCAAATATTACCAAAATAATTTATCAAATTTAAGTTTAAGACAAGAAAATTTAATAAAATGAATAGAGGAAAATCTAAAATAAAAGGAAATAAACAAATATTTAAACGCTTAATTTAAGAATAAAAAAGAAAATAACAACACTCAATCATTGAGTCCAAAATTAATGATATTATAATTTGGTGGTTAAAATTTGAATTCAAATGAAACTCTAATTCAAACTAAGTGATCACATGAAAACTTTCATGAATTTAACTAACACAAAATCAATTAAAATTTAGAAACTTTTAGAATTTAATCAAAATGTATTAATTTTCTATACCACTTAATTAATCATAATTTTCTAAAATTAACTCATACACTTCAATTGAATAATGATGAATCAATAACCCATCAGAGGTAACTTAATTGATTTGGGTAATAACCTTAGTTTATGCATTATGCCAAAGAGAAATGTACTATTTTACTAACCTCACTTCAATAGTTTGATTCTTTCTTAAGTTATATCTTGTTTTATGATATATTATGATGCTTTCATGTTTTGTCCTGACAAAATTTTCTTTTTAATGAACAACTATTTTGCATCCATTGTGATCCTAATTGGATAAACAATAATAAATGGAAGCAAGATCTAAATTGTCTTTGAGAATTGTTGTTCTTTTATTTATTTTTGCATTAAGATGAGCCTATTATTAATTAGTAAAGTGCACCTCAAGAAAAGGAACTTTTGACTTAGAGAGAGAAATTTGATAGGTTAAGTCTTATTACTATCAAGAGAATTATCTTTAGACATCTTTTGAGTGACTTTTTAAAGAACAAGACGGCTAAGAAAAAAATGGTA